ATCGATAATGCTGGATCTGTTTCAAGGCGAAGAGATATCTTCGATTGACGTCGCAGGCCTACAATATATATTGATGATTGCCGCGGGTGAGAGCGCCAGTCCTTCGGGAGATCTGAACGATCCAGTGAACAAACCTGTCCTTCATCTCAGGTGGTATCGGATACGGACTATGAGATCCAACAGCCCCAAAATTCCTCGAGTTGAGCTTGACCCCATCGGACCCAGTTTTGACTTCCGGGTCGGGCGATTCCATGAGGCGGATGCGGCGGTGATGAGGGATGCTTTGAAACATGGCCGTCGGCCAAACGAAGTACGGACAAAGAAGAACATCGAGACAGACCTGGTGGGTGACAAGATTGGCCGGGTGCACCTTGGCAAGCAGGATCTTTCAACGCTGCAGACACGGAAGATGAAAGGACTCAAGAGAAACCGTGACGACGTTGAGGACGAAACAGAGACGAGAGACGTGGATGGCGAGGAAGACATGATCAGTCAAGACGAAGACATGGAAAACGGCGGCATGGACGTTGACGATTTCTCGGAAGAAGGAAGCAGCGGTCTAGGCAGCGGAGATGACATTAGCATCGGCGAAGATGACGACGAGGAAATGAACGATGCAAGTGACGACGACAATGATAAGCCGAAACGACAGCGGACCTCCTGAGGTAGGCGAGACTCGAGGTTTTCAAAGGCTCAAAAATACGCAGAGAAGACATGACATCCCACTACGACTGATTCTGCAATGCAGTCACAGTCTGGACACTCGTCTCGTCGCAGCCCCTCATACATGTTTGGGGGATGGCCTGGCGTGCCCAAGCCAGTAGCTATGACGTTCAGGACTTCGCCGTCAAGCCTCGAGAGGCCGTTATTTACGCAATGTGCATTTGCCGAGGAAACGGAGTATGAATGCCCTGTGGCACGCGATAGACCCATGACTTTAGAAGTCTCTGGTGCGCAGGCAGGTTCTGGTGTTCGCAGGTTTCCGACAAGGCGATATGGCTATGAATATGGACATGGACCTAGGGGAGTATCTTATCAAGGACGAGTCTACCGTATCGGCAGACGAGGTTTAGCATCATGTATAGGTAGTATCGGATAATGAACAGCGGGAAGCGCAGGTGGCACTGGGGAACACCAAAACAGCCGAGGCTCAGCGCGGCGGTTGAACAAAATCATCGGACTGTGGGGAAGGCAAAAAATGCCCACAACTTGGCCCTCGCTGACCCGCCCGCGGTTCACATGCACCGACAAACCAGGTCAAAGATGATGTAGTCGGTATTCCTCGTTCGCCGAGGAGTCTTTTCTCTGTCTCTTATTGCTCTCTGCACTCTGCAACTCTCCATCTGGCATCCAATTGCTCTGCTGCCTCGACGTAAAACCCAAATTAACACATGCCAATTGCTCATTCCAGCCACGCACGCAGCTCAATGCCCATGACGTTGGCTGCCATCACTGCGCCCTTTGCCTCGTAACTCTCCGGTGACCTTGCTTTTCCCTTGGTCTCTGCGCTCCTGGGATATTGAGGAGTCTTTCGTCCTCCACAATACAATATCTGCCGTCAAGTAGGCGAAATGGATGTGTTAAAGGTCAGTCGGCGATGCGCGCCCTCTGCACTGTTGAGCTCCTCACTGACTTCACTAGGAAACCGTCGAGTCCATCATCCTCAACCCCGACCTCGCTCCTCTCCTCGCCATCCTCAAAGCCGCCCGTAATGGCGCCGTCTACGGTGCCAAAGTACGATTTCCTCATGCCCTGGTGATGGTCTTCATGTTCCGGTCGGGGTCGATCCGAGAAAAGATACGCCTTGTTTTGAAAGCTACCAGACAACATGCGCGGAACCTCGCATTCTTTGCAACAGTGTACAAGTCTTCGATGTTAATATTGAGGCTATTGAATCCCAGACACCCCGGGAAGGAGGGGCCGTACGACACCTTTTTCGCCGGCCTGTTGGGCGGGTATGTTGTCTTTGGGCGAGGGAAGCATGGCGGGTAAGGCTCAATTGTACCTGCTGTAAACTGGCTCTTGTGAGACTAAACTATTTTCCTTTAGTATCGAGCAGCAAATCGTCATCTACGTCTTTGCCCGAGTAATGCTCGCGCTGGCGAAGCTCAGCATTGAACCGCCGAGCGCCACGAGGTCGACGCCAACTCCGACGTTATGGACCCAAAGGTTATCGCCCGAGGTCAAGGCAAAGATCGAGAACAATGCGTGGCCCGTTTTCGCCAGTTTGAGCTGGGCGTTTGTCATGTACATCTTCCGATGGCAACCCGAGAGCATTCAGCCCAGTCTGAGGAGCAGCATGAAGTACATGTACGTTCATTTCCGGAATGTCTTTTTGCATCGACGAGATATGCTAACCTACGTGTTTTACCCCCCAGATACGTCGATTCCGACTACTGGGACAGTTTCCGAAACTTTCTAATTCACAACATCTAGAGGGGAAAAGAAAGGGCCCCCGTCGGATTTTGTGTGTCTTGCATTGGAGACGGGCGTTTTGGGGTTTACCATTGGTTTTTTTTCGGGGGGCGCCTCATGGGGTCTACGCCATATACGAAGTTTCAAAGTGTGATATTAGAGGTTGTTTCTCAGCGCTCTACGACTCGGAAACGGCCGGCTCTGGTCTGGTTTGGGGTGGAAGACGATGGAGCTGCTTAGCATATGCATGAAGGGGGTCAGGTAGGCAGGTAGGGATTTTACATGGAGAGTGAGTAGGCATTTCAGAAGGGAGCCTCTTGACAAGACAAGCTCCTGTGAAAGAATATCTTATTAGAGATGGGCCATGGCATCAACCAACGGTGGGAGGATGCCCTACCCACATACAGATTTACAGTTCCTCACAATCTACCTACCACCTTTTCAACAGATCAGAGTCTTGCATTTTTCAAGGTCCGCCGTGAACACCAACCAACACCCCATGACACCTAGGTAGATTCAACTCTCCAACCAACCAGCTACTGGCCTTTTTCTACCAGTAGAGTCTACTTCTCCCCCCTTTTCTCCAGCGGACAAGAAAAACGGCGGCCGCGTCCTCTCGATCTCGAATCTGGATAAATAATCTACCGGCACCAATCTCCCCAGGCAAAGGCATACGAGCACGCGTGAATACAAGGCATTTTACCATGTAAGGGTGGCCAGCTGAGCTGAGCTGAGCTGAGCTCATGGTTCTTTTTGTTTGGTGACACCGTCGCCCACCGGGGATTGGACGGGGATGGAAGAGTGCAAGAGCGGAAGAAGCCTATAAGACTTGCCCATGATTGATTGACTGATTGAGTGAGTGAGTGAGTGGAGGAACTTCAACCTCTTGAAAGAATCTGGATATGGGCTCCAATGCACAACCACAGGTCCACGGGTACAGGCACGGGTACGGGTACGGGTACAGTATACAGCGCAGATACTTAGGTATGATATAGATGGTGGTAGAGCAAATACGGTTCTCTGCTCGATGATCCCTCTTGAGGGCATTTTAGTCGAGCTTCTCCCCCCCTCACAAACACAAGACGAGACAAATAGATAAGATAGACAGATATATAAGCACCCCTCCAAAAGCCCATCCATCTATCCATCCATTAAAGACCGAGTTTGTCTGTCTACTTGTGTATGTATCTGCCCTACCCTACCCTACCTTACCTTACCTTACCAGCCAGCCAGCCAGTTACAGAGAAAAGGGTTTATGTAATACAAACACAACAGTGCTCAGTAGAGGTATCTATCCATCTTGCTATCGTTGTCCACCCACGCCCTCACTGTATAGCCAAGTGTCCTCGAGGAGTTCCCCGGCCGTGCTGCGCTCACTCGGTTCCCACACCGGACCATTTTCCGGAAAAAGTCGATGAACGAGATCTTCTCCTCGCCGGTGACGCTGGAGATGGTCGTCTCGAAGGTGAAAATCTCGGGGATCAGGTCGGGATTGTGGAGGTGGCCTATAACTTTGTTAAAACTATTTAGTTCGGGTCGAATCAATATCCCCATGCCGCCCATATTTTGTTATGGATATGAAAAGAAAAAACATACCGGTGTGAATAACTTGACATTCCGAGTGTATATAATCAAGTCCATGCAGCACCATCTGGAGAATGATTTTGACAATCTCCATCCGGTATCACGTCTCCCACGTAACGGCTTTGGTAAAGCCATATAGTGGCTCCCGCAGGGGGGCTCAAATACGAGACACGTGTGCGTCCCACGTTGCCCCGGTATCGTGAACGTGTCAAGAAGTCCGTCGGACAAATGCCCACCCCCTCATAAAGAGGGTTCTTTCGTGTAATGTGCCTCAGTATGTTTACCTCACCCATGTGCCGCCTCGTGTGCGAGACTGGATGTGTTTGCTTTGATCTTGATTGCCACGTAGCGGTCTCTGAGCCATTTCCACCTATCGACTAATCAGAAGGAACGTAGCACAGACTGTCTCAGATCTCGCGCAAGCCAGACCGTGGAACTGCTTCCACGGCCAAGTTTCGTCGCCAACTGATACCGCTCGTTGAGAAGAGCTCCAGTGCGAGCGGGGTGGAAATATCGTGGGTCACAGTAGGGCGAGTTCTCTTCCTCGATCAGTTGGGATGGGTCTAATCGAGCGGCAACCACTGATGAACGAGGCCAAGGTCTGTGTCGGAGAGCACGCAGGGACGATATAATGTAGTTCATCGCATGCTGCAGGGTCGCAAGAGACCTGAGACCTGCTAGAGACATGTTTCTTGACAGTCGAAGAGAGAGTTGACAGAGCGCCTTTCTCGACGGCAGATTCAAGGGGCTTGACGCTGCTTTCATCTACCAATACATCCGATCTTGATGTCCAAGTGAGAGACATCCTCGAGCAACCAAAAGAGGATTAGTCGGCTCGACACGTCTTGGCAGATCTGGACCCTGCATACTTGTATACGCATGATACATAGATAAGAGGCACTTATGTAGATCCGTATACTTTAGTGCGAGATGGAACAGTCACCAAGTATTATATTATTTGTTGTTGGCCACAAAAACTCCTGCATTCGATGATTCCAGTTCTAGACATAAACTCCCGTGTCCCAAGGCACATACTCGATACCGCCTGGACCTACCAATCCATTATCCCATCCATACATGGACACTCCCGCGCCTAGAGTCGCATCGAAGAAACACTCATTGCTGTAGGCTTCCGTGCCGCTCAGGTGCGGAGATGTGAATGACGGGGGCAGCGTGTACGAATTCTGATGGACTTGTGGTGGAGTTTGGCCGAGCGGCTGAGGTTGCGGAACAGGTTCGATCTGGTGGCCCGGCCGTTGTTGTGCTGGCTGGACATCTGCCCCGGGTGTAAGTATCGGCGTGCCAAACAAGTCATCGCCAAACTCATCCATTGGCGAGTCCCATGATATCGACGACATGCTGAGCCTGTTGAGTGAGCTTCGAGCGTTCGACGGTGGTGTCCGTGGTGAGGAGAGGTGTTGTGCGAAAAATGTCATGTGTTCTGGTAGTTCATTTCCATCGAATGGGGAAGATTGCGGTCCATACACCGTCGACGTCCGGCTCATGGTCGTTGCTGTGGCTGATTTTGGCGATTGGCCGACGGTAATCCGCCGTTCAAGAACTGCAGTACCAGGTGTATGGCAGACCGGGTCTCTATGAGTTGTTGCTTGAACCTGCACTTTTGGTTTCGGTGCAATAGCTGGAGGAACAGATTTCGCAAGGCTCACGGGTGAGACAGGTTCCGACTTGGTGTGCGTCGAGGATGAGTCGAAATTGCTGGGAATTGCATCTTCGTCGCGGTCAAGCACTCCTAGTCGTTCAAGGATACCGTGTACGCTGGGGTTGCCATTGACTTCTTCGACTAGAGCACCGTCCCATTTCTGACCTCCGGCGAGCCGCCTGTACAGTTCCACCAAGCCCGCTGTCAGGGCTTCCTGATGTTGAATAAGGAGACTGTTGTATCTTTGGGACCGTTAGCGAGAGGACACAAAGTCACTCAGGGAGCCATTGAGCGCAGGGTAGTACGATCTCACTACTTACCTTTGGTTTGTGCTCGCGCACTCGGTCTTCCTCCGGATCTTGTACGAACAAGGTGCTTGGTCCAGATTACACCTCCTGCACGGCTTCTCACCATCGCACTATTCAAAGACGATGGTCAGTCTCTCTGAATGCTGTTGATTTTCTTTCGAGCAACCATAATGGCACCAGAAGACGAATCGACTTACTTTGGCCTTTTTGACACGGCATCGTTCACAAGCCCGCGAAACGCGCGGACGCGACCGTATAGTCTGTTGGTCCGTATTCATTCTGATGCGGGGATGAAAGTCTCACAATGAGAAAGAAGAAATACGCGGTGGTTTTTGTATGATTGAACGTCTGATCGAGTATTGAGGTGTGTACTTGAGATATGAACATCAACTCTTGGACAGTTGCGCGAGATGGTATAAATTCCAACCGGACCATCAGCAATGCCGACCGGTTTTGTGACAGTCACGTACCATAGGTGTCGCCAGATACTCCGTCATAGCCATTGATAAATCATGTGAAAATGGAGCGATAACTTCGAAGCAATGACCAAGTTGATAGTGTGGCATGCTGGACTCGGCGATTGGTAGGTTAGCGAATAGTTGGCTCAGAATATTGGTGCCGTGGGACCCGAGTTGCAAATCATTATTGAGTATATGTAGGGTTTGTGGGCTACGGGCTGATTCCCCACCGTGGATCTGCTGTGCTTGGAATAGTTGAAAGTTTGTGTTGGCTGATGTCCAGTCGCAGTAGAGGAAGAAGGGATCGTCTGATGTTTTATTGTCCGATGTAGCAATTGGATGCTGAGGCTGGGAGCAATAGAAAGAAGCTTTGACTGAACTCAAATGCGCTTTTGCGCATCAATAATTGCCCAATGAACTCTTGTATTCTTGTTCTTTGGAGAACCAAGACTCTTCGGGGACTATTTGCACTTGTATGCCCAGCAAAGGCCCACAAGAATGTTCAGGCAATGGTTGATATGGTTTCGCGGGGGAAGTTCCTGGCAGGTCAGCGAACCAAGGCGCATGCAAGTGTGGACTGATCAGCACACAAAGATACCTGATTGATCAATGACCACATACTAGTAGGGGTATATGGTGATGCAGATATGTATAGATCATGGCATTGGGGGACTCACAGCTGCGTCGTCGGTCCAATTCTTCGCCATCTCACCCCAGCCATTCACAATCAGCCCAAATATTCGACGTCATATTATTGGCTGTTCACTCGAATGACAGCGATCCTTCTCATTATCTGCATATTATTGTGCACATGAGTAGGCGCTAGCTGGATAACGAATGCCTTCGGTGATCGACGATCTGGACGGTGGCCGAAAGGTATCACGATTTCTGCTGAATATTGTAGACCACCAGATACGCGAGGCAGACCAGTGATTCGAAGGGTATAGCTCAATGTAAGACATTCAGGGACCAAAGTTAGATGAGGAGAACAAAGAGAGGTCATAGAGAAAGAAGGTGTGATGAAAGAGTGACAACAAAGCAAGGGTTACGTGGAGGGGTTGAAGAGGGGACCTGATTTGGTCTGACAAAGAAATATTGGCGCAACGTTCCCGAGTGACACTGCAAGCTCGTCTGTCAGACAGAACGATTCTTGAAGCCAAGCACCCAAGGTCGAGCACGTCAAAGGCTGAGAATTTTGCTCGTCTCTTTCTCTCACTGTAATTCTCGTCACCCTCCAATGCAACCAGAGGCATCATTCATGACGACGCATTCACACCCTCTGAGAGTGGAGTGCACTGCGACTGTAGCACGACTTTGAACCCTGTGTCTGGTATTTTCTCAGACGCAGCCTTTGGTAAGCTAAGATCGGCATGTGAATCACCGTTGATGTCGGATGTCGTCCGTCATGCGATTTATAGCTCTTCGTGAGCCTTACTTCATCCCAGTCAGGTCTCACCGGTGGTTCTGACAGAATCGATGACGTCTTCCTTCTGAATTCCCCGACTGTCCACGTCAACGGAAATGCCCAGTCGGTGCTTATCTAACCCAGATGCCAGCTGACAAACGGGGCTCCTACTTGTATGCTTGCAGCAGTGTCACTTCCTGAAGCGGATGATGGAGCTGTGTGAAACATCACAGAGAACATCCGGACGGTACGGACCATGCCAGACCTTTCCGAGCATATTCCCGCATGCTGAATGCAATGCCATTGAAGATGCTCTCGACGGGCTGGCAGAAAGGATACATGCTCGGCGACCCAGGTTGATACCATGAACTACGCCACTCCACCGACCTACGTGCCCATACACGAGAATTAGTGCTTCGATCTGATGGTCTTCTGACTAAGGTGAATGATATCATGTCCTCTTGATCATACTCGTGGGGCTTCATTGTGGTCAGCCTCGGGGCCCCAGGTCCAGCCAACAATTCCGATGCACTGGTTGTCGCCACTTCCGGCATCATTTCAATTCAGTGCGGGAGAATCCGGGTACAAGCCCGGGAGACTGTGCCCGTACAGCGGTGAGAAATCTGCTTCCCAGTGGACGGCGAGCGAGAATTCGGGGATGCTGCAAGTGTACTGGCTACACCTCAAATTGCTCAGTTCAACGGATGACGCTGTTGGCATTTTGGTGCTATTCAATATCGCGCTACACGCAATATGCAGGCCAGTTACCTGGCGTGTTGGGTATTCGATCATTCTCATCACAGAATCGTGTCATAGTGAACGCTGTAAGTTATCCAAGCAACTCCGGCACACCCAACGCCAAAACCGGCTGCCAAGATGTCTGGAATCCGATCCAGACAGCTGCCACGCAAGACAACAGATACCAAAGACCCAGCTTTCGGTACTCATCCCTCATATACCCTCCAATTTCAATTCCTTTGCAATGATGTCTGCCCACTCGTCAATCTCGCCCCAGTCGCGGTGATCTCCCCACCGCCCACCGATGCAGCTCCAGAGACATCGAACAGGCGCCGGGGTCTCTGCACCGTCATCCTTTCCCGCGAACAGACGGTGCTCTCGGACCTTGGGCAGCTTTCGGAGGACAACCTCTTCGATCTGGCGGGACTCGCGGCGCACGGCTCGGTCTCGGACCCATTTCGATCCGACGGCCGGGGCCATGCCGACGCTGAAGGTCCAGGTGGGCTTCGTCTGGAGACCCATGGCCTCGACGTCGAGGAACTTTTGTGCGTCCAGCAGCCACTTTTGATTGTGCACGGCGCTGCCCAAGATGACAGCGCTGTAGTTCTCCACGCTGAATACATGGTCGACGGACCGGCAGTCGACGGCAAAGCCATCGGCGTGGAGGCGCGAGGCGATGCGTTCTGCTACCTCTCTCGTCGAGCCGTGAGAGGTCGCATAGGCGATTAAGATAGGCATTGGTGTGGGTGAGGGGAGAGAGGCCGGCGATGGATGGTCTCGGTCCTGGTGATCAACCTCGAGTCGAGACGTGGTTGGCGATTTGTAAGTGATAGTTTAGGTGTTGGTCTTTAAGTTCCCTTTTTTCTTTGGGTACAATATTTGTTAGATGTTTGCAAGAAGGCGTTATGGGGTGAGAGTATATATGTAGGCCACGGGCTAACAAGATGCCGTAGGTGGGTCTATTCTTGTAGTGTGCCTCGGAGAGCGGATTAAGAAGAATTATGTCGGGGTAAGGCTGAGGGGGGTTCGGATAGATCTGGCTTGCTGACTTGGACAAAGTCGGATAACGGATTGATTATTACGTTACCTTGGTATATTTGGTGCCAATGCTGGAGAACAGAAAGCGGGATATGGCAAGATGATGGGGGGGAATGTGGGATTACATGTACATGTACATATACAAATAACAGAGATCTTGTTCTTTTCCCTTCTCTGCCTCTCTATTTACCCAGCTCGAAATCAAACTTCTCGGCACGCGAAACAACAACTACGAGGGTGATTATGATGTTATGATGAATATTTTGACTCGCCGTCTCGTCTCCACAGACTCATTACCACACAAGGACAAGGACAAGTACTACCCAGTCAAGAGCGTGGCAGACGACCTACCTGGACAAGGACAAGGACGAGTCCGAGTACGAGTCCGAGTTAAACATCACCGACATGTGGTGTGGTGGTCAGAACCCGAGTGAGATTTGACGGGCGAGGGACCAACTGATCAACCCGCGTCTTTTTCACCCTCGTCCCCCTCGTCCAACCGAATTCCTACTTTACGCACTTTGACTCTAACGAAACTAACCAACCGGCCGGCCGGACGCAAATGGAAGGCCTCGCTCATGTCCATGCCGTGACGGCCGTGACCCCGGATCGTGAGCGTGAGCGTCATTTGACAAGAAGGAAAAGACCCAGGGCCAGCCAGGTGCCAGGCCAACAAGACCGAGAACTTGAAAAGCAAGAAATGCTTACCAGAAACGAAAAAGTTTACTCGATAAAGCCGCAAGTTGCAACAGCACGACCGCATCTGGGCGTTTTACCCTTTCTTGCCTTACTCCCTACTATTACCTCCCTGTGTGAGGGTGAATCCTTTTGTCGCTTCGCTTGTCTTGACCCCTGTAGACGCCCCCCTCCACCTGCCTCGCCTCGCCTCGCCTCTCGGCGGGTTTTTTTTTTCCATCTTTTCGGGATCCGACCACTGAAGAAAGTCCCGAGCGCCTTCTACGGGCCATTGGGGGGCATCTTCGCTAGAAAAAGAGAATCCCTTTCCGCAAAATCCGGAGGCACCTACTACTACTACTAACTTCTAACTACGTCTAGGACAAAAGGTCTACCAAGTAGGTAGGTAGTGTGGTCGGGCAACTTCTCTCGGACTTGTTTAAAGGTCGAGCTGCGAGTAAAAATTCACCGAGCTCCGATTACCTAGAGGCGGCGAGTGAGCGTACACACGAGAAAATGTATGATAACTAACTAGGTAGGTAAATGGTAATGATGCGCCTGTCCGTGAGAACCCTACCTTGGAGGGGCCGTGAAGAGGGGCAGACGATGTTAACTCTACTCTCACTCTTTCGACGGATTCCATACCTACCTACCTACCACCGCCTACACTACCGAATACACGCACAGGCACCGGAGTCCAGGTACTGATGAACGACCATGTGTGTGGGCGGTGGTAAAGCAACTAGACTGATGATTCGGTGGGCACGGTAGCGCGGTGGCAGGGGTGGCAAGGCTGGCCTGATAGATGCCGGCTGCGTCCGGGATGATGTAGCCCCACGAGTGCTGCCACAGCCGTGTACCTCGTATTATGTAAGTACATGCCTCTAGACGCCACAAACACCGCAGACACGTGCAGGTACAAGTAGAACAAGTACAAGTACGAGACCGAGCGACCGGGAGACCGGGAGACCGGGGGACCGAGGAACCGAGTAAAGTATTTATCCATTTGACAAAACACGTGCAAATACATACTTTTTACAAGTAGGTCGCGCCCATTCGCAAAGTACGAGGACAAGACAAATATGATTTAGATGGAAGAAATGGAATGGAATGAAATGAAACACCGCAAGGCCCGCACGCTGAGTGAGGTGAGTCAGTTGACTGACTCGTTAATACTATGTATGTACTTCCCGTTCAGATTGCCTCATTCTCATTACGCGAGATGACCCTGTGCCCTCGCGCCAACCTGGGGATTGGTGCGTTGATCGGGATACCTGTTCTGGAAGTCCTTTGTGATCAATAGGGAGCGTGCTTGGACGTGAACTTAGCAGCTACGAGCACGCGTATTTGTACAAGACCTTCTCGGATTCGTCCGTAAGAGTACAAGCAAGTACTTGTTATTTGCCTTGGTATATATGTATGTACACGTGCCCATTTACCCGACGAGGCCAGGCAGCGAGGCAGTTGTGCCTCGATCCGATCTCGATTCGGTTCGAGAAGGGTTGGCACGCACCCTCATGGGACGGACTGGCCCTACTGATAGACCATCACAAACCAAGTTCATGGCTGCGTGTCCGCCCAGATGGTGGTCTCCTTAAATGAATAACCTTTGATACAGAGCCCGAAAAATACCCAATGACCCATAAATCAACGACGCCTGAGTTCATCGTGAACGAGGCCTGCCCTTCAAAACGCCAGTGTTCCGTTCCATATAAGAATTGCGGTCGTCAACGTAAAGCGTGGCGTGTTATACAGCGAGGAAATCCGTCAGATCTGCATTTTGGTCCTGCCGACACGAAGACATGTCAGCATCTGTATCTTCCCAAGGTCTGAGAGTGATATGTTGGTGCTTGTGGCGGGGTTGTCCATGTGCCTCATTCCTCGCATCATCGAGGATGGATGAGATGCCCACTTCATCTCCCTAGAAACCATAGGAAACGAAAGAGGGTAAGAGCGTGAGAGAGACAGAGGAAGGAAAGCATTGGTTGTTAGGTTTTGCACTCTCAAAACTTACCCAATGCTTCCTCTATCCTCGTCCTGTTCGTCCTCAAAAGTCGCACCTCTCAATCCAAGGCACAGGTCGAAAAGGGATTGGCTCAGTTCGGTAGGAGGAGATATTGCTTACCCAGCAATACACCAGGAAGGCAGCCTCGGAGGTCAGCGCCCCCAGGGCGAGGTAACTGGTCACATCGCGGATGGCCTCAGGCACTGTGGCCCAGTGCGTCTGGGCTGTCTGGGCTGTCTTGGAGGCCTTGGAGAGGATCCTCTGCGACGCCGAGTGCGGGAGGATGTGTTGGTGGTGGAAGTGCAGTGCCGGATGGTGCACCGCGGTTCTCAACGCTCCTGGTGAGGCGGAGGAAAAAGTGCGGGCACTCTGAGCCAGGCGGTTGACGGGGATTCGCATGGGAGGCATGTTGTTTCTTGTGGTGGATTGGATAGATTTGTTTGGAGGTATTCAAGGAGGTGGATGTGTAATACTTGTATGTGGATGGCTAAACCTTCAAGCGGGTTGAGATGACGTTTCGTATCTCTTTGTGGAAAGGGTGGTATCACTGGATGCTGCTAGTATAGAAGAATCTGGTATCAAGTACTTGTAGGTGATAAAGAGGTTCTTGTATGCGTGTGTACTTGTCTGGAGGTTGTTGATTGTGTGGTGTCTGTGTAGATGCCAGCCAGGCTTGCCACACCATCGCGAAACCAGACGGCTTATATCCTGAGGAGCCATGTGTATGGCAATTCGTCGATACCGATATCGTCTCGTGCATGACTCTAGAACGCGGAGAGACATGGCACTAACGTTTCGTTGTTCGGAGACGGGGAGCCGAGTTGTGTGCGTGCGCCACTACCAAAGACAGTTCCGTGGACAGAGTGAGCAGAGCAGAGAGTTGCTGCGGCATGTGCGCAGGTGCGCAGTCACGCTACGGTATCGGGTGCGTGGTTGTCTGCCATCATCAGCTGACCCAGGCAGTTTTACCAGTACGCGCCAGTAATACCACAGACATGCTCCGTCGGGGCTCCGTTATTGCCCCGAGTTTTACCTGGGCAGCCCTGGGCAGCACCTGGACAGTCCAGAACAGGGCAGACAGGGGCAGCGGAACCCGCCGACAACGATAACGGCGACGATCCAATGGGCTGAACCACCTGGGCACTCATCCTCTTACTTCGCAGGTACAATACCGGTAACCAAACGTACACGAGCGACATATCACCTTACCTACCACCCTACCACTCTACAATACCCTTCCTACTCGTTCCCTGCTCTGTTTGCGTGCTTGCTTACGAATAGATCCATCACTCAGCCAACGTTATCCTGGGAACCTGGACAATACCGTCTGTTTTTCGTCTCACATGCTTCCCGTTCCCTTGTATTGCCGTTACCTATAGTACCTACAATACCTAGGTAGGCAGACTGTGAGGATTGCAGGATGGACAGAGTCGAGTCTCCGCCGTGACGCCTCAAGACAGAGACGAAGACGAAAACTGATCGCCGATGAATGTCTGCTCGTAACTACCGACATGGCACCTGGCACCAGACCATTTTGACCCCGTGCCTCACTTGCCCATCCACTCATCCCATCGTCGACTTGTCCTCCAGTGGCGCCATCGAGAGAATTTGAGGCGCAAGCAAGAAGCGTTGTTTCAAGAGCTGGATTCCGGGCCTGCAGATCACTTCCGCTGCCTTTTTCAAAACTCGGATTCGAAGCTCGGTATAGCAGACTTGTCCTTGTAGTAGTCACCTGTGTTCGTCTACAGTAACACGCACTGGCCGAATCTCTTTGTTTGAGCACTGAGCAGATACTCCAGCCGAAGACCTCTACTGGTCCCGAGTACCTCGTAAAGGATCCAATTACCTTTTTCGGAGCTGATTCCGCGATATCAAGGTTCAAGGTTTTCCTGAGATCCCCATACCCACTTGTACAGTACTTTTTACATGTCCTCCGTACGTCCGTCCACAAGTAGCGTCTATGCAGGGTCCAACAAGCATTCGCTCGCTCGCTCGCTCGCGCACAATGACGAACGTACGGTCTCAGACGTGCGGGTCACTCACCCACGAGGACTCGAGCCCAAAGGGATCATGCGGATGTAGTGACCAAAGTACAAGTACGTCGCTGACTGGAGGCGGGTTATAAATCAACCAAGGATAGACGTGGCCATCACTTCCAAAGTTGGATCGGATATGTTCAGAAATAATTTCATTTCAAAAGGGCGAAGATGAGATGATAGTCCTATCACCCGCAACTGCACGCATTCATTCCCATGCTCTGATCGAGCCTCAAACATCGTGTCTCAGCAAGCAAATATTCCGTCTATAAAATCCTGCCCTAGTGGCGACTCAAGCCCCAATAGAGGCGAGTCATAGCCTGCGGTTTTCCACCCCGGAAATAAAAGGGGATTCGGAAAGAGAAGAAAAAAAGAACAACATCATGCCATCAAACGCTTCTTCATACACGGCTGTGCGTGTAGTGGGTATCGTAGCAATTAAAAACAAGTGGTGATCAACAACGAAGGGGGAAAATCCTCTTGGATTATTCCCTTCTCACTTTTCCCATAACCAGATTTGCTTGCAAGCTGTACTTTTGGTAACAGGTAGCTTTTCTTCTGGGGTTCCTTCTCTTTCTGAAGCTTTGCAGAACAGACGTAGCACCGACAATTCTCCCGTGGTATTAGATTCATGTTCGAATTAGTAGTAGAAGTGTCCGCCGCAGTCTTCAAACCATGAAAGTAAACTTTTCTTCAGAGGCCTGTTCCCTCATGCCACAACTTTTTCTGCTTCTCTTCAAAGGAATCTCTTAGGAGATGAGGAAGTCGTCACCGCAAGAATTGGCATTAATCCCGTGTGTATGTGAATGGTCTCCCAAGATAGAATGATGGTAACCAAACCCATAAGTCGTGATCGTGACTGACAGTATGTATCGTCGAGAGAAGGGAAAAAGAACAACGTCTTGCGGCGGTGGCTCGTAACTGATGGAGTCGTGATTTCGATATTCGTCACTGGAAGGCGCGGTATGGTCCTGTGGTCCCAATGGATACAACAAAGTTTTTTTGTTGGATGTGTAATCGCAGATAGATATTTGGCACTCGCAAGAGTCGATCTGATGACTTGCCATTATGGTTGCTGCATCGACATCTGTGACTGTTGCGCTTGTTGCGCCTGTTGTTGCGACTGGAGCTGCAGTCGGACCATTTGCTTGAGCAGGGCGCAGTCTTCGCACTTGACGAGCTTCTCGAGCGTCCGAACTCTGTCGTTCAGTCGCTTGATCTCGTCCGTCATGTGCCGCATCGACACCTCGCTCTGGTGGACGTAGTTGACCGCGTCTGTCATGACGTCGGACTTGCGCACCCTTGTTCGTGGGTCGTGCATACCCGGTGTTTCGTCCGTCGTAAGGCCGGCCAGGCGAGCAGGAGATCCAATAGTGTTCAGCGTGCGGTGCAACTGCATGATCTTACCATTGAGGTTGTCACGGTACCGTCGTTCGACGATCGAGTGGGCTTGTTTTGCTCGGGCTTGCGCCGCTTCCTCATCGCTCGAAGAACCCTTGCGTGCCCGCCTACCTCGTGTCTTGGGGAGGCTGTCGTTACTGGCCCTTCTCAGTTGTTTGACGTTACCGGTACTGATTCTGGATGGCATTCTTGTGAGTTCCTCGTTTTGGTTGGACATCTTCGGCGAGAGGGCCGACAGGTTGAAGTCTTCCATCTCAGGGTTGTTGAGGAGTTGCAGGCATGCTGGGACTGTTCCACAACTCCGCGGAGACAGGTTGTCGCCCTGTATCAGATTAAGACCGCATGAGAAGGACGGGTCGTTCTGCTCATAGCCCGGCTCGGGCTTGATGGGGAAGTCGGCGAACTGCTGAGAGTTGTCTGTTGAGATTGACGAAGTGTTGAAGAAAGGTTCTGAGGACATGGTATCATTTGTTGCTGATAGCCCAGAGTCCTGACCAGCAGCATCGAAATTCAGATACTGCGAATAGACGGGGGACGGGGCATTCTGCTCGGTTGGAAGCTCAGGGTTGGAATCGTAGTAAGATTGGTCCTTCGGATACTGAGGATAGCTCCCAAAGGAGTTGGAGGAGGCGAATTCAACACCATTCCAGCTTGGTTGCTGCATCAATTAGTGCCTGTGGCAAAGGGGAGCTGGCAAAACAAAAGTGCCAACGTACTTGATCCGGGTATGAAGGTCGCTGGTATTGGGGGTATGTTTGTGTGTAGGCCATGGTAGGCTCAAACCTTTGTTGTCGGTGGATTGACTGTGATGTGAGGTGAATATGGTTCTTGAAGTGTGGATTGATTTGCACACATAGTGGCACAATGTCTGCTGGTGGTGGAAAGGCGGTTGCTTATGAGAACGTTGTAAACAGAGTTCTTTTTGCATCATAGCGGAGAGGCAAGTCCGAACGAGCCACGCGATTTGCGACTAGGAAGACAGTCTCCAACTGAGGTCTCCATAGTAGTAGGAGTCAGGAACCGAGACTCGGAAACAGGTGTCAGACCACCAGTTTGACACGCTCACGACGCGAACGGCACTCAGAAACGGTAGTCTCCGTGGGAGAAAGAGGCATGTCATTGGTGAGGAAGAGGGAGGAAAAGATGGGTTTGCGGGTCATCTGAGAGACACAAGAGAGGAACTGCTGGGCGCAGGCAGGGACAGGGCCACGAGGCACGATAGGGCATGATAAAAGACTTACTGGGCTAAGCAGCTCCGGGTTTCCTCCTTGGGCCCCCGAGAAAGCGGAAATGGCCCATTACTCCCTCTTGGGGATGCATGTGCTTGCTCTGGGCTGTCCTATGGCGGGCTTTCTCGGGGCTCGGAGCCTGTAGGGTTCTCGGGTACCTGGCTGCCAGGGTGCCAGGGTATATCGTAGGGGCACCAAGGGCACCCACGGCGGTCCCCAATGCCCACAGAAGCATAGCCTAGTGGCCCCTAACACCTAGTGAGCCAACTGAGCCAGGTGGATGCTCGCCAAGACATCCATATAATCTGAGGCACATTGGCTACTCGTTCACATTTCTTGTACCAGTATACAGTATGCTGGAAGAGGATATTTTGCCCATGCTCGGTCCTTTATGGTTTGGTCAGCAAAGAGAAATGTGCAGAATACCACACCCACCAGATGCACCACTCCAAGCCTCTGTAAGACACGGCGAATCGGTCCAGCGGACACTTGCTCGTATATCGGGATCTGAATGCCTGGCGCGGACATGGAAGGGCGTGGCAGGGCAAGGCTGGGACAGGTACGACCAAGGCACCGCTCACCCTACAGAGCACTTTGTTCTTGTATAAAAGTACAAGTACTGTCTTGACAGCTGGAAATGGACTTCCTTCATTGCGACCGTGACTGGCAAACTCTTTTTTCCTGTGCGAGGCTTTCCTAAGTGCCCTCCCGCCTTTTAACTTCGGAGACGCAGTTAGTTCGG